TTGGTATCCAGATTTTTGAGGTCAGACTCTAGCCTGGAATCCCACCTGAGTAGCTGACCCTTGGAATCTGCAGCTTAGTGTGCCTCACACTCCCTGTCCTGGCAGGCCCCTGCTATTTTCTGTGCTCAGAGATCACTGTGGCTCCACCTAGGCTTTCTCTGGTTAAAGAAGTGCCAATGCTCAAGGAGGAACATTTAGCCAAAGAGGTAAAATTCACGGCCAGGAAACAATATGTAAGTGCTAAAGTGATGGAATGAAAGCTCAAGATGCTTTGAGAAAAGCAAAACGAACTTGAGCTGGACCTTCAAGTGGAAAGGATTCATCTGGAAGACTTTAGAGGGAAGGAAGTTATACAGGGACAGGGCTGAGCATGTGTTGGAGTTAGTGGGTGAGATCATCTCATGGGTTTTAATATGCTGCAGGCTAGATATACAAAGCTTTCTCTCACTGTGACATAACAGACATAACAATCTCCAGGATTAAATTGTAAGGAGGAAAGGTTTCTTTTGGTCATAGTTTCAAGAGATTTCAGTCCATCGTTGCCTGGCCTGCCTCTGGGCCAATGACACCAACATATGACAGGGAGTGAGACAGAGGCAAAGGAAGCTGCTCACTACCTTACCATGGCCAGAAAGCAGATAAACAGGAGGTGGCAGGGTCCACTATTTCCTTCAAGACCACACCCCCTATGATCCAACTTCCTTCCACTAGGTCCCACCTTGTAAAGGTTCTACAACCTCCCAACAGCTGGATCAAGCTCACAACCTATGGGCCTCTGGGGACATTCTATAACAGACGGGAAGATCTGCAGAGAAAGGCTGGAAGCTCCTAAGTTTTGTCCCCCAAAGGCAAGATACAAAACAATCTTTTTCCTTTTTTTTTTCCATGCTGGGGATCAAACCCAGGGCTTCATTCCTGGTAGGCAAGCACACCCTACACACCTACATTCCCAGCCCTAAAACTGTGAACTGACCTAGCTCTATTAGTACATAGTTGAAGTCAAATATTGACTCAGTCATCTATGTGACCTTGGAAAAATCACCACCTCTCTAAGCCTATTTCCTCATCTGGAAGATGGTGAAAACAGTAGTAAAATCTAATGATAGGATACTGTGAGGATAGAAGAAAATTTAAAATGGGTATCACAAGCTTAGCACACTCCTTGGCAAGAACATAACACACAGCTTTAAATCAAGGCTTTACCTACCCCTGCCACCTTTGTATGGGTTAAATGAAGCTGCATTTGTTCACAACCATGAGTGTTCAGCTGACTTCTCAAGAAATCACAGACAATTTGACTAGAGATTGCTGTAGCTGTCCCTCCAGCATGCTGCCACCTGAACCCCAAGTGTTCCCTGTTCTGATGTGACTTGTAGCTATGACTATCTCATCTAGACTAATAACTGAGGGGTTTTTGCAAAATTTGGAAAAGTGCCCAAATGGCAGATGCCTGGTGACTAAGAAAATGTCATCTTCCATGGAAAATGTAGACCAGTGATGGTGAACCTTCTAGAGACCAAGTACCCAAACTGCAACCCAAAACCCACTTATCACTAAGTGCCAACACAATTAAACCTGAATACTGAGGTTTTAAGGGCTTTTGTTTGTTTTTGTCTTTTTGAGACAAGTCTGACTATGCAGTTCATGCTGGTCTTGAGCTCACTTGGTAGCCCAGGCTGACCTTGAACTCACAACAATCCTCCTGCCTCAACCTCCCAAGTGCTAGGATTACAGGCGTGTACCACCAGGACCAGCAAGGTTTTAGTTTATTTTTTTTTTTTTTTTTTTTTTTGGTTTTTCTCCGGTACCGGGAACCGAACTCACGACCTTGCGCTTGCCAGGCAGGCGCTTTTGCCGCTGAGCTAAATCCCCAGCCCCTAGGTTTTAGTTTAAAAAAAACAATTACCTGATGCTCAGCTGCTGCAGTGACATGGCTCGCACGCTGATAGGGAGCGCTCTATGTGCCTGCTGCAGCACACACGCCATAGGTCTGCCACCACATATGTAAACCACCCATGCCCAAACTGTAAGGTCTGGAACCCTACTTTGTGGCTCAGAAATGAAAACGCATTCCAGCACACTTTTTAAATTACTCAAGGGAAACCCCAACATGCTACCTTCTCAAATCTTCTCTTTGGATGAAGCTGAAGTTAACTTCAAAGCAAACAGAAGTCAACAAGTCAAGTGGGAGTCTGATAAATTGTAAAGATGGGAGGGCAATCACATCTGCTTTGCCTTGGAATCCAAGTCCCGCGGCCAGGCTGCAAGCTCTTCTCAGGCCATCTGTCCCACGGCTCACATTTTCCCACTTCAGTGCCAGAGGCTCCCCAAGGCCATGATTCTCAACCAAGGACAGAAAAGTACACATATTTATTTAAAGAAGTTGCTTAAGAACTTGAAGGCTGCCAAGTGTGCTGGCACACGCCTATAATCCCAGTACTTGAGGGAGGTTGAGGCAAGTGGATTGCACAAGTTCAAATCCAGCCTAGACTACGTAGTGATTTCCAGGCCAGCCTGAATCCCATAGCAACACCTGTTTCAAAGCAACAACAAAAAAACTTGAAGGCAAACCTGTAGCCTCCTCTGAGAATGAGTACCAAACTTTTAATTTTATAGATTAAAACCCTGAAGTCAGAGATGGGAGTTTTTCTGAATGTTAAGAATAAGCAGGGCCAGGACTGAACTCAGACCATCTGATGCTAGGCCCTGCCTTTTCTGCCACCTTCAGTCCTTTGTGACAAATCCCGACAAGTCTTTATGTGGAATCTTCTTCTCCCTATCTCTCGCTCACAATCAGACCTGGTAATTGTTTCTGGTGATTCTTCTGCCAGGCTGGCTCTGACACACCAGCAAGGGGCCTCCTGAACACGCACACGACTCCTGCAGGAGCAGTTTGGAGACAGGCTGGTTACACTGGCCACTTTGAAAGGGCAGGCAGGCAACCTTTGCTTGGTTTTAACAGCGACTACCGAGACAGGATCAAATCTGCCTTTCTAAAAACCCGTACTAGTTCCACAGTGTTGGGCTCATTTGAGAAGCTGCTAACAAGTGTGTTGTATCAGCAGGCCATCCCGACAATGAGCTGTCAGCAACTCAACAGTGAACAAAAAGGGAACTGACTGAGGAGCCCATGTGCAGCTGTGTAGCTCACTGAATTCTTACGGTCAGAGTCCTCCCAAATTGCCTGGTTTCCCCCTGGAAATAGCCGCATTCACGCTTCTAGGAAATTGATACTAACAGGACATCCTAGGGAGTGAAATCTGAGGCCTACTAAACATAACACTGTAAAGTTAAATTCTATTGTGATACCATGGAATCAAACCTTCAGGTAAGAATATCTCAAACATGGTAATCTCTGGTAATGAATTAAAGTGGTTTTACATCAATTTTACCCAATTTTAAGTAAGTGGAGTGCTTTATACCTAGAGTAACAACTCAGCATGCCCCTGGGCACCAAACTTTTCCCAGAAAGAATGTATTAGTTATCCATTCTGTGTAACAAATCATTCTAAAACACAGAGACTTAAACAACAAACATTTCTTTATTTTCTCATTTTCTGTGGGTCAGGCTTCAGTTGGTATGGACTTAAACAATAAACATTTATTTTCTCACTTTCCATGGATCTGGCTCACAGTTTCTCATGAAGCGGTGGTCAAACGCTGGCTGGAACTTCAGTCATCTAAAGCAGCCCTGGGATTGGAGGATCTGCTTCCAAGATGGCTCCCCCATATGACTTTTGACTGGAGGTCTCTCCCTATGACTTCTCCATAGAGCTACTTAATGGCCTTACAATAGGTAGCTTTTTCCAGAGTGAATGACCCTAGATAGAGCAAGGAAGAAGCAATGTCTTTTATTATTGTGTCTTGGAAGAGACACCATTACCTCCACATTCATCTGTTGGAAAAAGTCACTACTGTCCCCATATTCAAAGCAAGTAGAATAAAGCCCCTCAATATAATGAGCAGGATAAAAGATAAGAAGAAATAGATGTTTTACAAACAGGAAGTGGACCAAGTGATGAAAACAAGGAGAAAAGAGGGGAAGGGGGATGGAAAAAAATTAAGATGTGTTATGTTCATGTACCAGCTCTCCACGAGGAATGTGTTATAGTTTGGGGTTTTGCAAGGGGAACAATACAGTACAGGACACATATTTTTATAAGATTATTTATAACAGTCACCCAAAGAATCACATATCTAGAGAGTATAGGAAATCTATCCACACACTAAGGACCAAAGAATCCAGATGAGGGCCTGGATCCCACAGCAATGTCCTGCATGAGTCCAGCTGAAGACCTAGAGCCCAGGGCAATGCCTCCCATGAGTCCACCTGGATGCCTAGCACCCACGACAGTGTCTCATGCAGGCCTGTTTCACAGATCTGCACTGGGAAAGCCCAAAGGTCAGTGGTGGAAGCTAGAAAGTCTGTGCCAGTGGGAAGAGCGATCTGTGCTAGCAGGCTGAGGGATCTGAACTGGTGCCAGGAAACAACGCTCAAAGTAAGAACCAGAGCTCCCCCGGAAAGTACCACAGTCATCCTCAGCAACAGTGAGGTTCCGAGCTCCTCCAATGATGAAGAAAGCCGAGTTCCCATCAGGAAAGCCAACATGACAAGCTGCTCCAGGAGACTAAGCAGTGCATCATCCTTCCCTCTGGAGCCAGGAAGTGATGCTCAAAGTGAGGACCAGAGCTCCCCCAAAGTGAACCATAACCACTTTCAAGGACAAGGTCCCAAGCTCCTCTGATGAGAACAGCCAAGTTCATCAAGAAAGCCAGCATGACAAGGTCCTCCAGCAAAATAGCTCAAGAGAACCAGCAGCTCCCTAACAGCTTCCCAACAGCTTCTCAACAGCTTCTCAACATCTCCCAACAGCCTTCCTAACAGCCTCTAAACTTCTTCCTCTCCAGTTCTGCCTCTTATACTGCCGGCAACAGTCCTCAGGTGGGCCTCCCATACCCAGCACCATACTGATTCAGTTCAGCTGGGGGTTACAAGTTGACCACCAGATGTCAATCCACCACAGAATGTAATCATTGTGTGCTGCTAACGTGTACAGATAAAAAGTAAAGAAAGAAGCATATCAAAGAATTTGTGGACATATTTTAACATCACCACAGATAACAAAATATTATCTCCTCATCTGTTAGTAACAACTTATCAGGGCTCACTGCACCATTATTTTCAAATTAATGCTTTTTAAACCAGCAAGATTTATCTGCCAAGTACCTAAGCAGAAAGTTGAAATATAGGAATTTCTGGAAGGGCACATCCACTTACGATAAGTTTTTTGAAACTAAACTTCATATTAACCACAAAATCCTCTCTTGCCCTCTCAAAAGATGTTCAAAACATTTCATCTAAGGCAAGACAAGCTAATGGAAATTTATGAATGCATAAAATAATAATTGCATATAAAATATTTTTTCTTCCAAATGTCTAATATTCATTACTATCCTAGCAAGAAGCCAATTCATAGTAACACATTTTCATTCCATTTCTACGTAAGGGATATATAATCAGTATGAAAACTGTGATACAGGTCTTCAACACTATCCACAAGGTAGCTGTTTCCACCTAGTGGATGAAAATGGTACTAAAGGATTTGAAATGAAAGACTTCACAAGTGCTTCACAAGTTACACACTTATATAACTTCCTAAAACCACATTACATACTTGATATATGTGGGCCTCTTCCATCCTTACAGAAGTTTCTCTATAAACAATCTTTGAGTTAAAAATATAATTTTTCGGCTGAGGATACAGCTCAGCAGCACAGTGCCTGCCTGGCCAGCACAAGGTCCTGAGTTCAATTCCCAGTAAACCGCCCCGACCACCAAAATATTTCCCACATTGCTACCTCTGGAATTTTCTAGTCTAAGCCAGCAACCTAGAAAACAGCCAAGAAGCAGGAAATAATCCAGGTCTCCTAATAGCCAACAGATGTCACCGTGTCCATACACTGAAGCCCTACTAGATGGACAACTAGTAGAGAATACTTGGGTGACTGGCACATGAAGCTCAGTGAAGACTTGTTCAAAGAACCAATAAAGCTTATGAATTTTTCTCCAAAAGATAGTCCTTCTCCCAGAATCTACTTCCATTTTCCTACTATATACACAAGTTCAAGATTTTATAATCTGAATACTAATCTTAGAACAGATCAGAAGGGGCAAGAACTAACTTAACGAAGTTCACTTTTGTTAGGTTAAGACTGCCAAGTGACAACAAGTGAGGAAAGTGTAGAAAAGAGATTCAAAACAAACCACCTCATTTTGGGGGCTAGTCAATTTGGGAACAAACAACAAAGTCCATCCTCAGTTTATGACAGTAACTGGGTTTGTCAAGAAATGGTAATTTTTTTTTTCCAGTGGCAAGGATTAAATCCAGGGCCTCATGCAAATTGGGCAAGTGTTCTACAACTAAGCTATATACACCTAAAGCTGGAAAGAGTTTTGATAAGACTTTCTTAAAAAGTTTTGTTTCAGTTGGACATGGTAATGCATGCCTATAATCCCTGAGGATGAGAAAGGATGATCACCATGAGCTGGAGGCCAGCCTAGGATACTTAAGCAAGTTCAAAGCCAGCCTGAACTACATAGCAAGACCCTGTCTCACAAAAAAAAGAAAAAAAAACCTAAGTTTTGTCTCCAAATGATGAGCTCTTCCTCATTTGGAAAACACAACTACTCAAAGAAATGAATTTCCTGAGGGTTCCAAACAATTAGAGCTTGACAGACCATTTTAAGTAGATATTAACTTAAAGTTGGGGATAGCTCAGAGGCACAAGCACCTGCCTGGCAAGCATAAGATCCTGAGTTTGATCCCTGGTATCAAAAAAAATAAAAAAAAAAAAAAGCTAGGAATAACTTAAAAAGTACTTTTACTACTGTCACATTAAACAGAAATAACATGTTTGTTAAGAAAATTCAAAGTTGTAGAAAAATTTTAAAAATAGGAAAGTATAAATCTTCTTCCTACTTTCTGGCCATGCCTGGGACCCCTGACAACAAGCACTGTCATAGAACGACTAACGCACATGTAACTATGCGAGCGTGCGCACGCGCGCGCGCGCGCGCACACACACACACACACACACCTTGCTCCTCAGCAATAAACACTTAAATTTCATATGCATTCTTCAAAAGTAAATATTAATGCATATATGCTCATGTCCTTTTGGGAACATAGAGCAAAAAAGGAATTAAGATGTAGTAGGTACATGTACCACCTCTACACTAGAAATGTAAACATTATGTACTATAAACATGTACTAATAAAGAAAATGATCTAAAAAAGGGAAAAAATAAAAACACATGTACTATTTTTCACTTTGTGTTAAAAACAAAAAACAATAAAGCTATCAAATTTACCAGTGTTAAGGTTACCAGTGATTTTTCCCAGCAGTAATTTTTCGCCTCTAAAATCTGGGTTTTGGGCTGGGGATCTAGCAAGCACAAGGTCATGAGTTCAATTCCTGGTACCGGAAAAAAAACTAAAAACCAAAAAAAAAAATCTGTGTTTTTTACTTTGTCCTTCAAAAGGCATGGTTTTTACATAATTTAATTCTATTCAAAATGTAAACAAATATCTATTATGAGCAAAATACCATGCTCTATACAGAGTAAGACATGCCCTCTACTCACGAACAGCCTGGTGCTTGTAAGATAGCAGGAGGGTAGTCAAGCAGGAGAAAGACTGAGACGGCAGAAGGAAGTAAACACCATGATAAACTGTCCAACACTAGAGAGGCTGGGGCCAAGCCCAGGTTAAACAAAAAACAACAGCAAATAGCTTGTCACTAATTTGAGAAAACAGCCTTAGAACTCACTCTTGTTTGCTTCCAGCTTCCTTATTGCTTCTGGTATATCACCATCTTCTTCCTACCAATTCTAAGCTATCTGAACTTGACTTGTTTCCAAATTTTAAAACTTAAGATGACAAGAGGACAGCGAACTTGGATTAGGATGACAGCGCTATGGCTCTGAAATTACAAAGGAAAGCCAAACGATAAATAGCACGTTAATCACTGTACAGAGACTTTTACATATGACTTTGCCTCTGTAATTCTTTAAAATGTTTTCTTCCTTCTTAGGGTAGGGTGGGGTGTTTAAAACCATGGTGGTCTCACTCAGATCATGAAGGTGAAAAAGTATTATGATTTAGAATTCTGTTGTTTTTCTAAAAGAAACAGTCAAACATGCTCTACTAAAGTCCAAAACCAAACAGTAGCTCCAGGGAAGGTACATAATCTTCTGTTTCTCTTCAAGACAAAGACACCAGTGTGACAGTTCCGGCTTAAGAATCTTGTAACAGTCATTATGAAAAGTCTATGTTTTCATTCTAGGCCCGATCTCTTAGAACCTACCAATTTGTGCCTCCTCTCATCTGCTATGGCTGTGGTCCTCCCACAGAAATAACAAAAGACCAGAAGGAGAAAATGGTACAGAATGTCAGGATGAGCAATGTTTTCCCATTAAGGCAGGCATTTATATAGAGTAGCATATTCACAGGTTTTCAAGAAAATACTTTCTTTGCTTTTAGGCTGAATCTGTAAAAAAGGTACCTAAATCACTAAATAGAGCATCCTTATGAAAATATAAACAATGTGAACCTGAAATGGTTATTAAACTGAGATGTAATATTATTCTAATTATTTGAAAAGTCTGCTAGTACACAGCTTATAAACTGTGTCTTGCCCTAAAATGTTATTTTAGATATAAAAACTATTCATTTTTCTTTTTTTCTGAGGCAGGGTCTTACCTAAGTTGCCCACACTAGCCCCAAACTACTGATCCTCCTGCTTCAACTAGCTGGGATTATGTACAGGTGTGTGTATGCCACCATATCTGGCAGAAAGCTACCCATTTGTCATGAAAACTGTGAACTACCCGAATAAAACTGTGGATTACCCTGAATAAAACATTTATTGTGATTTTTTCCCCTGTGACATAAGATTCAGTTTCCCTAGCTCTCCAAATGACATGGTTGCAGAACCTCTTTCCGCTGGTCTTGCCTGAAAATAATAAAGATTAAAGATATTAGAAACAGATTAACCCCTTAACCTTGTCATATATTTTTAAAAAACCACCCTAAGTTGACAAACAATGAAACAGAAACATGCACCCACTAAGAAAGTGATGTCTTAACCATGTTACCTGAGAATCATGGTATTTCCATCCTATCATGTGATAGATCTGGTATGTGGCAGGTACTGAACCATCCGAATTTCTGTACATTTCTATAAAGACAAATAATGGTTACAGTCTGAAAAAAATTGCTCAGTAAAAATCACCTCCTCCAAAGAAAAATGCATACTAGGGTAACTGTAGGATTCTGAGAATGCCTCACATGAAAAATTCTTAATATGGAGGGGCTGACAAGGATAAAAAGGGTGTTTGGAAAAAGATACAGTGCTACAGGACCTGTGTTTTGAGAGGAAGGACATGAAGTCTGGCTGTATCTTCACAGGAACAGAAAAGGCACTGGCAGTGTTAAAGGAACCAACACGACAAGGCTCAAGCTTCCCAGGAAGGCAAAGGCAGAGCGTGGTCAGCCCCCTCACCTCTGTAAACTGCCGCAGCCGCCAGCATCGTGTCTCGGTGCAGCAGGGCTTTCCTATTCCAGGAACAGTTACTCTCTCCCATACCTAAAAATATATTACAGGGAGTTTGAGAAAATACAGTAAACACCCCGAGTAGCTCAAAATCACAGACTTAACACATCTCCTCCAACAGTGTTTTCTAGCCTCAGTCTCTGACAGTCATGTAAAACAACCTAAATCTCATTTCACTTTCAGATTACCACTAGGCTTCTCAGTACTTCTGAGGTAAAACTGCTTGAAACCTCTTGAATATTAAGACAGGTGAAGAAGTCAAAACTCAGGAGGGAAGCCCTACAATGCTTTCAGTGCCAGCAGTAGTCTAAAGTAAGCCATCTGGGCAAAAGAAAAGAGACCGACTCCCCAGGTGAGTCATTAAGTATTGAGGAGCACCTTTCTAAGCAAGATACATCTTATGTCCCTTTTAGCTCTGTTCTTTGAAAGAGGACAGAACAAATGGCACAGTGCCTCACTCCTTTAAAGCCAAGAATAGGACGATGAACTCTGAAGAGATGGCTATGAGACTCACTAGACACTACCAAAGCTACTATCCATTTTCAGATTTTACAACAAGATTAAGCAAAAATTATGTACATTTTTAAGGGGTTTCCAGCAGAATTTACTTTTAGACTTCTTTAAAGTTGATGATTAAAAGCTAGTATATTTTACTATTTTTTACTAAAAATCAATGTTATATATTTATAATTTTATTTTTCTTTTTGCATATATTTAAAATTGCTTTCAAAGGGATTTTAAACCAATTTGTAAAAAAAAAAAGAATTCCAGAAATAAAAGTCCATTACATATATTCTTTTATTAAACTTCACATAGTTGTCAGTTCCTTAGTTTTATTTTTCTACTTTCACAGATCAAGAAACAAACCTCACAGCATCAGTATTCAGTATATTTAAAAATAATCTATCAAACTTCAATAGTTTTATTAAAAACAATAAAAAATTAGTTATAACAACTAAACCTTTTCTTCTCTCTCTCAAAAGTTCATATTATTCTTTAAAATAATGAATCTCTGATTCTAAATTTAATGTCCTACAGCCTATAAATTTAACAGCCCCAATTCATGAAGAATAAACTAGTAGATTAATCATCATGGAATAGAAGCTTTTTCTTATTGTCATAAAACAGCTGGTTTATTTTAGAGCAATCACTCTAGGCAGTGATGGTGAACCTTTTAGAGCTTTCAGTGATACAAACAGCCCACTGCAGTATGCATGCAATAGGTTTGCCACCACTGCTCTAGGCTTTCAAGATAGCCAGACTAGGGATTTAGCACCAAGATGGCAGAATGGTAAGCAGAGGAGAAACAGCCTCTCTGAGAGTCGTCATTCAGACGCTGAATAGAGCAATTTGAAGAAGGAGGAGGGAAGTGGGTCCAGGAAAGAGCTGAAGCACAAACCGAAGCCCATGGAGAGAGTAAAGAGAGAAAATTCAACGAAGAAACAGGTAGCCAACAGCGCCTTCTCCCTGAGACATGATTCACTGCACGAGAGGGGCGATTCAAACCTTCGGACACATGGTGTGACTGCTGGTGACCCCAACGGCCTCCACAGAGAGACGTAGCAGAGAAGGGGAGCAGTAGATGTGAAGGACTGCACCAGCTGGCAGTGAATGCTGAGGGCCCAGTAATCCTGTATGAGAGCAACTGGCTGGGAGCCATCTTGGGGAGGGGCCGGCTGAGCTCAGAACTCAGAGAGGCTGCAGGCTCCATCTAGTGGCTCCCGGCTGGGCTCAGGCCCATGAAAAGTACACTGATGGCTGCAAGCCAAATGAGGCTCGTCTCAGCCCAAAGGTGCAGACTCACTTAAATTATCCACTACACAGCCAAAAAGCTATGGCTGGCTTGCTGAGATAGATTGGCATGGATCAGGACTCTGTCCACAACGCTGTCTACCAGTGACAACAGAGACATACCTGGAAGGACTTTTTTTCTCTCTCTCTTGTTTGTTTTTTGTTGTTGTAGTTTTGTTTCTGTTTTTTTATCCTTCATTGTTTGGTCTTGATTTTATATCAGTGTGAATGTGGTTTCTAGACTCTTTGTGGTTCTGTTCTTTTTATCTCTTCCTTCTCTCTGTCCCTCTAGTCTTCTGCACCAGTTTTCCAAAGTTAGGGTGACCCCCTTTATCCCCAACCTTACTTCTTCTAATCTCTCTTCTTCTACTTCTCTATTTTCTCCCTAACTAACTTTAAATTTTAACCCTTGAGGGCAAAATTGACATATTAAGGACTTGTATGCTGCATATAATTTTCTGGTTTGTTTTAGATTTTGTTATATAACCAGAAATCTAGTTCATATGGTTAAAGGTGGCAAATTAATGGTTAGCTCAGTTGACATTTTCTAGGCTGTGTCTGATTCTATTGTCACTGCTGATGGTACCACTATAGCCAAAATTGACATAACTGTTCTAAACAGCTGTTCTTCTAAGACTGAGACTGACTAAGGGTCACAGAAAACACAGTGGCACAGGCCCAAAGAACCAAGGGCTGGGCCAAACAGGCAGCAACTCCTCATCCCCAACAAATTGAAGAGGTAGGATCTTGCAACAGACTCAAAACCCAAAAACCAGCTACACCTGAAAGATACCTCAGTGAAGTAGTCATTTCCTAAGAGTTCTAACTACTAGCAGTAAAGCAACCCACCATAGGCAATTTACAAGCATCACCCCAGGAATTTAACTAAAAAAGAAAAGAAAATGAGGACATTGAAACAAGCTGCAACCCTAGAAATCCAGTTCACCATAGGCAAACCCAGGGGGCAATGAGCTGGGACAATCCAAAAGCCACCCACCGGGCCTCTCTGAAGTGGTTTATCGTTACAAAAAGGCTCTTAAAAAAAAAAAATCAAATCGGAAATAATTTCTTACATAACTGCAGAGATGGAGTCACAATGAAAACCATGCTTAATGCCTCTAGAGCAGATATAGAGAAAAAATATAGCAGAGCTTAAGACAATTACGGAAGCCATGAATGCTCAGCACAGGAAAGAAATGGATTCTATAAGGCAGATTCAAGCAGATATTCATAAGAATAAAAATTCCATTGAAAGTATCTGCAGCAGATCAAGCTAATGTGAGGACAGTATCTCAGATATAGAAGACAGGCTTGTGGTTAGTGGTCATGAAAAGAAAGATTTCTTAAAAATAGCAAGGGACCATGAGAAATCAATATAGCAGCTGCTACATGAGGCAAAGAAGAATAAAACTAATTACGGTCATTGAAAAAGCAAGAGATAGCATGAGTGATACAAAAAAACAGTCCACAGACATCCTGGCAGAAAACTTCCCATGTAGAATAAAAGAATCTGACATACAGACAAGGGAGGCATATAGAACTCCAATTAGCCACAATGAAAAATAAATAAATAAATAAATAAACCTCTACAGCCAAGCCAAGCATATCATAGTCAAGATTCCAGAAATTCAACATAACAATAGAATCTTGAAAGCTGATAGGGAAAAGAAATATATCACCTATAAAGGAAAGCCCATCAGAATCACAGCTGACTTCTCAGCAAACCCTCAAGTCAAGAAGAGCTTAAAGTATTTCAAGTTCTAAAGGAAAACAACCTTCAACCCAGATTGATGTACCCCACAAAACTACCTTTCAAAACTGATGGAGAAATAGGATACTTCCATGACACACAACATCTGAGGAAATTTAGGATCACCAAACCAGCTCCATGAAACCCAACAGAAGGAATCTACCAGGCAAGCCAAACAAACCTAGGGAAAAGCGGGGGGGGGGGGGGCAACAAAAGGAAAATAACATGACAAGGATAAGTTAATACATATCAGTTATAACCATCAATGTTAAAGGTCTCAAGACACCAATCAAAAGAAACAGACCGGCAGAATGGATCAAGAAGCAAATTCCAACAATATGCTGCATACGAGAAACATTTAATTCAAAACAAAATTCACAGACTGAAAGTCAAAGGATGGAAAACAATATTCCATGCAACAAGAACCCAGAAAAAAAAAGGTGCAGTTATTCATTTGCAGACAAAGTGAATTTCAAGCCAAGATTGATTAAGAGAGATTAACAAGGTTACTACATTCTTATTGTAAAGGGAACAATCCAAGAGGAAGAGATAATCATCACAAATATATATGCAACAAATACCAGTGCACCCAACTATGTAAAACAAATATTGATGGGCACAAAAAAAAATCAAATAAGCACAAATGCAATTGTAATGGAAGATCTCAATACCCCACTGTTACAAAAAGACAGATCAAGTAGACAAAAAATCAACAATGAAATATTAGAACTGAACGAAACTTTTGAATAAATGGAGTTAGTAGATGTCTACAGAGTGCTCCTCCTCACAACATCAGAATACATTCTTCTCAGTCACACACGGGACAGTCTCCAAAACAGATCACATATTCACAGAATGTATTCATTAAATGCAAATGAATTGAAATTATCCCATGCATATTAGCAGACCATAGTGAAATGAAACTGGAAATCAATGGCAAAAGAAACCACAAGACCTTCATAAACACATGGAAATTAAATAGCACCCTCCTGAACAATCGATGGGTCACAGATGTAATTAAGGAAGGAATAACAGTTTCCACAATTAAATGATAATGACAATACAACATACCAGAACTTCTGGGACTCAATGAAAGCAGTCCTAAGAGAAAAATTTATAGCAATGAACACCCATGTCAGGAAAACATAGCAAGCACAAATAAACAACTCAATGATGAACATCCAACTTCTAGAAAAAGAAGAGCAGGCTAAGCCAAAAGTTCGTACAAGAGAGGAAATTATAAACAGTAGAGCAGAAATTAACACACTGGAGACTAAAAAAACAATACAAAGAATCAATGAATTGAAGAGTTGGTTCTTTGAAACATTAAAATCAACAAACTCTTATCCAACCTTATCAAAAAAAAAAAAAAAAGAAAGAAAGAAAGAAAGAAAAGACTCAAATCCACACATTTAGGAATGAAAAGGGTGAAATCACAATGGGCCCTGTACAAATCCAGATGATCATCTATAACTACTTTGAAAGCCTGTAT